CCTCTACTTGCCCCCATCCAAACTGTTTGATATAGTGACTGTACCATTTTTTTAAATTCCCATCAGCAAAGATTAAATTTCTACTTGTTTTTCTTCTTTGTCAGCACTTAGTATTCTCAAGTTTTTGTTTCCCCATCTTCAGTGATATCTTTTTTGTAGTTTTAATTTATATTTCACTAATAATGTTCAGCATCTTTCATGTGCTTATTTGTCATCTGAGTATCCTCTTTGGTAAAGTGTATATTCAAGTCTTTTCTCATCTAAAAAATTGAGTTTTTTGTTTCCTAATTGTTCATCAATGTTTATGGTTTTGACAGTTCCTTATTTAAAATTAGTTAATTAATTTTTGGCTTCCCTGGGTCTTTGTTGCTGCTCACCAGCTTTCTCTAGCTGTGGTGACAGGGGCTCCTCTCTAGTTGTGGTGTGTGTTCCTCTCATTGCAGTGGTTTCTCTTGTTGTGGAGTATGGGTTCTAAGTGGATGGGCTTAGTTGCCCCATGGCGTGTGGGATCTTCCTACACCAAGGATCGAATCTTTCTACATCTGTGTCCCCTGCATTGGCAGGCAAATTCTTATCTACCGTACTACCAGTGAAGTCCTGGGAATTCTGTATATAGTCTGGATACAAATTTTTTGTTGTGTATAATGTTTGCAAATGTTTCGCTCATGGTCCGGACCTTATCTCTTCTTTTTCTTATGTGTCTTACACAAAGTGGAGATTTTAAAGTTTAATGAATTCAAATTTACCATTTTTTTTCCTTTATGACATTTAATGTCATATTTAAGAACTCTTTGACTTAGTCCAAGTTACAAAGATTTTCTGCTGTGTTTTCTTAAAAAAGTTTATAGTTGTATGTTTTACATCTAGACCTATGGTTGATTTGAACTAGTTTTGAATAAAGTTGGAAGAGTTTTGCCTATAGACATCTGATTGTCCTAACATCATTTGTTGAGAAGGCAGTTGTTTCTCTCCTTTCAACCTTTGTCAAAAATCAATTGGAGGGGACTTCCTTGGTGGTTCAGTGGTTAAGAATCCGTGCTTCCAATGCAGTGGATACAGGTTCAATCTTAGGGAATTAAGATTCCACTTGCCATGTGGTGTGGCCAAAAGAAGTCAATTGGACTTATTTGTGTGAGTCTATTTCTGACTCTGTTCTGATCCATTGGTCAACATATGTCTGTCCACCATCACAGCACTGTCTTGGTGATGATAGCTTTATGTTTGTGTGTGGATGTGTGTGTGTGCTCAGTTGCATCCGACTCTTTGACCCCATGGACCATAGCCTGCCAGGCTCCTCTGTCCATAGAATTTTCCAGGCAAGAATACTGGAGTGTGTTACTGTTTCTTACTCCAGGAGATCTTCCTGACCCAGGGGTTAAACCCACATCTCTTCTATCTCCTGCATTGGCAGGCAGGTTCTTTAACACTAGCACCACCTGTGACAGCTTTATGCTCACATGTGTGCTAAGCTGTGTCTGGCTCAATTGTGTCTGGCTCTTTGCATCCGTATGGACTGAAGCCCACCAGGCCCCTCTGTCCATGGAGTTCTCCACACAAGAATACTGAAGTGGGTTGCATGCCCTTCTCCAGTGATAGCTTTATACTAAGTGTTAAAACAAGGTAGTGTGGGTCCTTTAACTTTATTCTTTTTTTTCAAACTTGTTTTAATTTCTTTATAAAAGAAATATAAATATAAATTTACATAAATTTTAGAATCAGTTCTCTTTTTGGAATTGCATTAGATTTGTAGACCCCTTTCATAGTAAAATAGGTGGAAAAAACTTTAAAACTGTAAAACCTAATGACATAATTGGGACATATGAACCAAGCAGTCAGTTCAAGAAGTGGAACTTTAAAGCTTGCATCTATTTCTATGCTTTCCCTCTGTATCCATAAGTATATTTTCCTTTAATAATGCTAATTATTCAAGGAAGACATTCCTTTTTGTTGAATTCTTAGTTCTTTTGAATCACCTTACCTTCCACTTTTGATTTATCTTGTCTCCATCACCATCTGCAGTGATTTTAGAGCCTAAGAAAAGGAAATCAGTCACTGCTTCCACCTTTTCCCCTTCTGTTTGCCATGCAGTGATGGGCCGGTTGCTATGATCTTAGTTTTTTATATATTTCATTTTAAGCCGGCCTTTTCACTCTTCTCCTTCACCCTCATCAAGAGATTGTTTAGTTCCTCTTCACTTTCTGCCGTTAGAGTGGTGTCATCCGCATATCTAAGATTATTGATATTTCTTCTGGCAATCTTGATTCCAGCTTGTAACTCATCCAACCCAGCATTTCTGACATGTGCTCAGCTTATAAGTTAAATAAACAGGGTGACAGTAAACAGGCCTTGTCATACTCCTTTCTCAATCTTGAACCAGTCAGTTGTTCTGTACAAGATTCTAACTGTTGCTTCTTGACCAGCATACAGGTTTCTCAGGAGACAGGTAAGATGGTCTGGTATTCCTGTCTCTTTAAGAGTTTTCCAGTTTTCTATTATCCACACAGTTGAAGGCTTTAGTGTAGTCAATGAAACAGAGGTAGATGTTTTTCTGGAATTCCCTTGCTTTCTCTGTGATCCAGCAAATGTTGGCAATTTGGTCTCTGGTTCTACTGCCTTTTCTAAACCCAGCTTGAACATCTGGAAGTTCCTGGTGCACATAATGCTGAAGCCTAGCATGCAGGATTTTAAGCATAACCTTATAGCATGTGAGATGAGTGCAATTGTTTGGTGGTTTGAACATTCTTTAGTACTGCCCTTCTTGGGAATGGGGATAAGGAATGATGTTTCCACTCCTGTGGCTACTTGACACCAAGTCTGCCACTCAGGTTCGAACAAACGAGTGAAATGTATTTTTACCTCAATTGATATCATCCCAAGTTTCAGATGAACCATTTTTCTACTTCTTGATATAATTATGTAACTTTTGAAGAAGGACTAAAGACATAAACAAAGCTCTTGAAAATTAATCTGGAGAAATGAAGCAATAGATATTTCTAGACCCAACTGATTGTGTTAATGACCACTTGAATCTCTCATTACTCAGCTGGATTTTTTTTCCTTTCACTTCCAGTGTATATACATTTGAATGCTTCCTAGCAACATTGAGCAGGGAGGTAAACGATAAATATTAAGATGTGAAAATACTGCATAGCACAACAAGAGTGCCATAAGTGGTTAGTTACAGGAAAACTACTTCACAGAATATATTTCCCTTTCTTTTATTTGGTGAGAAGCTGACTTATGAGTTAATGTGGGGTTATGTATTTAGTTCAAAATCTGTATCAGATGAGTAGGTATCAAATAGTAGAATATATCCTTAGAATTAGTTTTAATTTAAATATTTACTAATATAAACTTCTGATGTGTCTAGTGTTGTCATTCATTATCACAAGTATAAAGGGTTTAGATATGTATTTATATATTAATATTTATGATGCTCAAAGTTAATACTTATAATGTTGCACTTAATTCATCCATTTAAAAACACTTACTGAGTACCTGAATGGTCCTTCCTGGTGGCTCAGACAGTAAAGACTCTGCGTGCAATGCAGGAGACCTGGGTTCTATCCCTGGGTTGGGAAGATCCCCTGGAGGAGGGCATGGCAGCTCATTCCAGGATTCTTGCCTGGAGAATCCCCATGGCTACAGTCCATGGGGTTGCAAAGAGCTGGACATGACTGAGTGACTAAGCTCACACACACTGGGTTCCTAGGCCTTCTTTTGGACTCTAGGATTACATCAAAGAAGCAAACTTATAGGTATTTTAAATTCCATAACCAAATGATGTATATAATAATAAACTTTCTTTAGAATTTATCTAGAACAAATGATTTCTGTTTTGGGGAAAATTCTGCATATATTATCATTGTATTATAAATGCATTTGAATCTATTTTGATTTTTAAATAAGTATGTGATTGATAAGAAATTTAACTTAATAAACTGAATTGATGCATAATTTTTAGCAATTGTAGTAATTTATATTACAAATATATGTGGAATCTGTTTTACTTTTGCTTTCATGAAAAATAATATTTCCAGTCACGTAACATAACCCTTAATGTTTTATCACAGTTTTGCTCAAGATTCCTGTGCCCTAGGCCATGGAATATTGTGACATGATCTAAGATTGTCCTAATATTGCTCTAAATCTATATGTATATTGAACATTGGTGTGGGCTTAATTAGCATTCGTTAAATACTTCAGCTTTTCCTTGTGTGATTCTGTACTGTGTGATCATATAGATGAATGCCACAAATTTTACCCATTTTAGTCATGCACTTTCTTACTTAACAGATATTTAAAGTGTAGTTTTTAGCAGTGATAGTCTAGAATATTTTGACATAAAATGGTTCTTGTGTCTTGAAAATAATTAGATCATAATGCCACTAGGGGGCTCACATACTATATGTGTGATTCATGTGGCATCACACATCTGCATAACACTTTGGGTACTTAAAAGGATGTGATAGCTGGGACCACAATACCATATTCAGTAGTTTTTGTGTGATAGATATAAGGGCACAGTAACAGAAGGAAATACATTAAATAGGTGTAACTTATCCGTGAAGTTAGCAGCGAGGAGTCAAAATTTGAAACTGGATAAGTGCTAGTCTGGTACTAGTCCCTATGACACCCCTTCTGTCTAGACTTGCTGTTGCTGATGCTACAGGAATATAAGCTCTAACTGTCAATCACTAGAGTCCTAGGACTGGACAGAATTACTTTTCAACAAATAACACTATCTGGCTTTATTTCAGTTGTCCCTCGTAATTGAGAAGATTTATTTGTAATCAGTTTAAAAACTCTTTAGCTTGTTCATTTCTTTAGTGTAAGAAAGTGTATGGTTTGTGTCAATGTTCTTTCATTTTCTAAAGAAGCTAGGAAAGCAAGTTTTTTAGATCATGCCAATTCATGTGTTTCCAGCCAAGTACATGCTTAAATATTTTATGCTAATTCCATCTGGTCTTATTTTTTTTTATTTTTTATTTATAATCCAGGGACAGTTCAGCATTAATTTGGCAGGAACTGGGATGAAGATATCCAGTACAGCAAAGTGGCTGGCTCAGGGCAGTTATGCCTCTGTGATCATTCACAGATCACAGGTAAGTCCTGCTGGACCAAAAAGCCTGTCTGAAATAATTCTGTGGTGTGAAGTAGTATTAAATTCCTCTACCTTAAATTCAGAATTATATGAAGTTAATGACTAATGAGTTCTTTCATATAATGGGGTATGTTACATTATGATGAGGTATAACTAACATGAAATTATGGAATGGGATTCATTTTTATTCATGTGCTTATGGAGGTTTTATATATATTCACATTCATGTTTAGGCTATAGGCATCTGTACATGAAATCAAGTGCCAGAGCATATAGATTTAAGTAGTTCAAGTTTGGGGCTAATGGCTTGAAACACAGATGCTTCACAAAGAGGTAGTCTTTTTAGCTATACTCTAATTATTAAAGACTTTTATGTTTTAATACTTCAAAGTGAGAGGTAAATTTTTGGTTTATTTACCTCACTGCTTTGATTTAGTGATTTAGTGATGGAGTCATTTGTCATTTAACGAACATCCTTTATAGTTTCTTCAAGAATTAGGAATATTTTTATGGTTGTATGAATGTTTTCCTTATCTATCTTTATTTAGAAGACATTGTCATGATTTGAGAGAATAGCATTGAAACATGTATATTACCATGTGTGAAATAGTTCGCCAGTCCATGTTCGATGCATGATTCAGGGCACTCAGGGCCAGTGCACTGGGATTTTATTTTTACCTATAGCACATGTATTATCTAAAGTATTATCTAATGTATTATCCTCCTAATTTTGGTGCTGGTGTAGTGTGCTAGCACATAAAATTTATGAGATGACTCCTGGTACTTAGAATTACCACACTTTAGATAGCATGACTCTATCTACATTAAATCAGGATCTGTGTTATAATTTGTGTTCTCATCTGTATTGCACCACTTAAATCAGTACCATCAACAGTCCCTGCCTACTCCAAGGTTTTATAATTTTTCTTTCTTTTGCTAAAAGTGACTTCATTCCTATATATGAATACTACTTGTAAATGAAATTCAATTTTCTGATATTTGCAGACCATAAAATAGTTTATTTCTGACTATTATGAAATTGTGTTTTTAATTAATAATTAAAGATTTTCTATTTTTATTATTTCTATCATATGGGTAAACAGTAGGCTTTTAAAATGGCTATTTATTTCTAAATATTTATTTGGCAAATTTAGGTATCCTTTTGGGTAGAAAAATGGAAATAAATCAATTACTTAGTTAAAATGTGTTCTGAGCAGGTATAAAATTTAGACAGTGCAATGAGATATTCTGACTTTATCTAGTTGTTAGGTATCTTCTGGTTAAATGACAGCTGGCCAAGGGCAGCAATAAAAATGAATATTTAGTACAACCATTCCTTTTGCATCTATTTAAGTTTTATTGTAAAGACTATTTGTTTACTTAATTGAGAATTTCTCCCTCAATCAAAGATTTTGCGCATGAAGGTATTTCCTGAGATCTGATGCATGGTGTGAAACTCTGACTTATGAAACCAAAATGTACTTGTGGAAATGAACACATATTTTTATTTCCTAGTAAATTTAAACAAGATTAGGGGTTTACTTAATCCATCTGAGAACAGGAATGTATATAAATTGGATTTTTTACTGCCATCCTCTTTGTTTACTCAGATTCTCTAGAGCCTCTGAAAGAAGAGGCAACTTCAAAAGCCCCTGATCTCAAAACATTCTTCATCCTCAAAAGTTTCAGGAACCCAGTTTCCTTTTCTACCCTCCCTCCTTAGATTTAAAAAAACAAAAACATAAATAAAGCAAAACTTATCTTCTTCAGAAACCATAGTTCAAACTATTTTTGTTTCATCCGATCAAAAGGCCTTTTGACTTTTGGACCTAAAGGTGGAAGACAGTCTGGAAAGAAAATCTATCCTGTTCTCATCCCTTCCTTCACCAGCATCTGCCCACCCATTCCTCAGTTAGCAGCTCTGCTTTTCAAAAATAAAAGAAGAATCTCCTTTTTGTTGTTGTTTAGTCGCTAAGTTGTGTCTGCCTCTGTGTCTAATTATAATTATTACTTTCAATCCAGTTTTTTCCCTCCATTCTATCACCTTTTATATTTTCTTCAAGCTGTGTTTCTATTGCTTCCAGGAGATGTTTGAAGTTAAGGTCAAGTTTGCATAAAATCCTTCTTTTATTTAGTCTATGAGAATCTTTTTTTTTTTTAATCTCATTTAAGTTTTGTTTTGTTTCATTTTTTTCATTTTTTTCCCATTTATTTTTATTAGTTGGAGGCTAATTACTTTACAATATTGTAGTGGTTTTTGCCATACATTGACATGAATCAGCCATGGATTTACATGTGTTCCCCATCCCGATCCCCCCTCCCACCTCCCTCTCCACCCGATCCCTCTGGGTCTTCCCAGTGCACCAGGCCCGAGCACTTGTCTCATGCACCCAACCTGGGCTGGTGATCTGTTTCACCCTAGATAATATACATGTTTCGATGCTGTTCTCTTGAAACATCCCACCCTCGCCTTCTCCCAGAGTCCACAAGTCTGTTCTATACATCTGAGTCTCTTTTTCTGTTTTGCATATAGGGTTATCGTTACCATCTTTCTAAATTCCATATATATGTGTTAGTATACTGTAATGGTCTTTATCTTTCTGGCTTACTTCGCTCTGTATAATGGGCTCCAGTTTCATCCATCTCATTAGAACTGATTCAAATGAATTCTTTTTAATGGCTGAGTAATATTCCATGGTGTATATGTACCACAGCTTCCTCATCCATTCGTCTGCTGATGGGCATCTAGGTTGCTTCCATGTCCTGGCTATTATAAACAGTGCTGCGATGAACATTGGGGTGCACGTGTCTCTTTCAGATCTGGTTTCCTCAGTGTGTATGCCCAGAAGTGGCAAATCATAAGTACCTTTCTTTCATTCAGTCAATGATAAACACTGGGTAACAAGTTGGGAGAGGTTTTAATAAACTCACTGAAGCAAATAGATACCTTGATGAAAAATATGTGGATTGAGATGAATTGTCTAACGTAGAGTGTGGTTTATAATCATCAAGTGGCTAATATGAATCTCGGGTTCTCTAATTCCTGTGACCACAGATTTCAACTAATCCTGAAATGGCATGATCTTTGACCTCAAGTGTAATTGTTACAGGCAACCTTGGCTGATTATTTCAGCCACGTGGTTCAAAGTGTTTGCTTTTCTGCCTTGTGCACACAGATGCCAGCATGTAACAGATGCTCCTGTATCTCTGCCTCTTCTATTTTCAGGATGGAACCAAAGTCTATGGCAGATGTGGAGGGTTCTGTGGAAAGTGTATTCCTCACATGACTACTGGTCTCCCAATTCAAGTAGTGTGAACATTCAGAAGGAAAGTGTGTCCCAAAGAGGAGACATTCTCTGGAACCTGCAAATAGCTGGTGCTTTTTACTTTATTCCTTCCTGAGATTTATGTCTAAAATATTTGTGCCTTTTTTCTAGGATGCTCATGAGGAACCAGTCACTGCTTAATTTTGAAATAAACTGAATGATACATGGTTCTAGTCAGGATCCTTAAAAGGATGAAATAATTTATGGTTGGGCATACAGGGATGTTTGAATTGTGCTAAGATAATACTGCTGGTAACAGATTACACTGGACCAGAATTATGTTATGCCTGTAAGCACACATGTAAATCTCTGCTCACATCCTACTGTACAATGAAATGTTTATTCTACTTGTTAAAATGGAGCAAGTAAAAATTAGGAAAATGAACTTAAATCATAAACATTATTGAATCTGTCAGGAGAATAGCAAATCAATAGTCACATCAAAAAAGTACATAGCCATTATACTTTCTACTGATACAGCTTAGATACCTTGTTTTATGTTTCCTTTAATTTTTAATTGTGCATTATGGTGCTTCAAAAAGTCATCCTAAAATATGGTATAGTTTTGTAATTAAAGTATGTAGTTGGGTTAAATACTAAACATGAAGTTTTGTGGGTATAATACAGAATAAGATATGATATAGTAGAATTTCACTTAAAAATACCTACCTCTAATTTGACTGTACTTATAAGAGCAATACATTGTTTTTAAAATGTTTATATTATATCATGTCTTTATAACTTATATGCCTATGTCTACTCTTAAAAAAATTATTTTTTCAAAGTTTTGTACTGTATTTTATTAATCAAGTAGAAAATTAAGAATTATTGACATTTGGAAGAACCTGTTTTGGTAAACATAAAATGATGTTTACATATGCAAAATTTCTATTAGAGAGTTCAAGTTATTTTATATCTGAGGTCTCTCAAATCCAGAACATGAAAGATAGTATAAAAATTAACTATTCATGAGTAAATGCTCAGGTATTAAGAGATTTTTTTAGGTGAATAATTTAATTGTGTATTATACAACCATTTGATTTTAAAAGAATCATAGATAATATTTTTCTATGACAACCTACTTTATAAACCAAGAAAACTGAATCTAATAATAGATTTTTTGCCAGTAAATAGTAGTGTAGTAGTTTTACCCACAAAGTTTTTCTTTTTCAAACTATTAGGGGTGTAATGTACCATATAAGGTACCAATTTTGTACCAATGTGGTTAAATAAACATTTAGGGATCTCTGTATCAGAAAAGAAGTATTTTGCACTATGTGCCTGAAACCAGTTACAAACATTATTATGAAATGTATAACATGTTCTAGAAATGTTTTTATTCATAAGTAAAACCATATAATTTATAATCATCTGAATAATAAAGATTTTTGTGTGATACATTGGGACTTTGCTTTCATTTTCCTTACATGTAAAAAAAAGAAAAAAAAGAATTCTTCACCGAAAAAAGCCTATAACTCAAAAATCACTTCAGAAATTCTGAAACATTTTACTCTAATTGTTGCAGTTTCGATGGAAATAGCTCTTGCCTACTGTACACCCTTATGGAAGTATGGGCATGGGGCTGACAGAAATTTGCAATGACTTTAAAAGCTTCTGTTTATAGAAAGGGTACCATGTATACTCATATTCAGTTGGCCAAATTAAATCACATGACCAAATCCTAGGCAATGGGACAGGGAAATATAATTCCCCTACAGGGCAGGATGGCCAGATGTATGGAAATGAGTGAGGACTCACAATCTTCTCCCAAGGGAGGGAGAAGATCCTTGGGAACAGTAAGATTTTATGTCCACCTGTCTTCAACTTTACCAGAAATTGCCGGAGTACTGCTTTCTAAAGGGGTGGAATAAATGTAAGTTACCACTGCCTCTGTGTACAAATATTAGAATATCTACATACTCAGTGACATGTCAACTTTTTTTTTTTGATCTGATGGGGTAGAGAGTAGTATTCAACTGTTTGAATTTATATTTATCTAACACAACTGCACTCATCTCACACCAGGAAAGTAATGCTCATAATTCCTCAGGCCAGGCTTCAGCACTATGTGAACTGTGAACTTCCAGATGTTCAAGTTGGTTTTAGAAAAGGCAGAGGAGACAGAGATCAAATTGCCAACATCCATTGGATCATTGAAAAAGCAAGAGAGTTCCAAAAAACATCTATTTCTGCTTCACTGGCTACAATAAAGCCTTCGACTATGTGGATCACAACACACTGTGGAAAATTCTTCAAGAAATGGGGATACCAGCCCACCTTACTTGCCTCCTGAGAAATCTGTATGTAAGTCAAGAAGCAACAGTTAGAACTGGACAAGGAACAACAGATTGGTTCCAAATCGGGAAAGGAGTACGTCAAGACTGTATGTTGTCACCCTGCTTATTTAACTTATATGCAGAGTACATCATCAGAAATGCTGGGCTGGATGAAGCACAAGCNGGGGACGACAGAGGATGAGATGGTTGGATGACATCACTGACTCGATGGACATGAGTCCGTCTTGGTGTGCACAAGGTTTTGTTTGTGCCCTCCAAGACTTGAGTCTTTGTTTCCCCCAGTCCTGTGGAAATTTTGTAATCAAATCAAACCCCTTTGCCCTTCAAGGTCAGCTTCCCTGGGGTTTCCCAGTCCCCTTGTCAGTCCCTTCCCCAGGATAGGAAACCTGACATGTGGTTCCAAACCTTCACAACAGTGGGAGAACTTCTTTGGTATTATTGTTCTCCAGTTTGTGGGTCACCCATCCAGCAGGTATGGGATTTGATTTTATCATGATTACCCCCTCCTACCATCTTGCTGAGGCTTATTCTTTGTCTTTGGACATGGGGTATCTTCTTTTAGTAGGTTCCAGCATCCTCCTGTTGATGGTTGTCCAACAGTTAGTTGTGATTTTGGTGCTCTAGCAGGAGATGAGTGCCTGTCCTTCTACTCTGCCATTTTGAACCAGAAGAAACAAAACTATTTAGTATTTAATTGTGAGGAAATACTCAGTCCTGGAATGGAGTAGACCAGCACTTTTAATGCATAAAACCTGTTCAGTTTACCAAAGAAAGCAAAAAGATTTCATTCACAGTGTTTCATAGTTAAGTCTGCCTGAGTTTTTGATGTACTTTGCATTTTCTATCTTTTGGGTCTCATAATAAACACACAACTTTAACCTCATTGTTGTAAATTGTAAAATGGTGGGAAGAAAAATTTCACTGCTTGCCCTCCTAATATATAAATTATGAGATTAAATGGGCTATTGTTTGTGAATATGCCTTGAATGGTAGAAAGTGCTAAATTAGCTATATTCTTTAATGTTAAACATAGAAAATAATCCCCAAAGGCCTATGGTGACCAAACAGCAGGTTCTGAAGGTCTACACTCCAGTTCTGCTGCTTATGTAAGCTCTATGACCTTGGGAAAATCACAAACTTTTTATGAACATTATGGTTGCAACTATACATGTGAGCTGTTAGGAGTATCTTTCTCACTTTGTGGCTGAAATATTAATCTATAAAAATTTGGCATAGGTCAGGTTCATAAGTTAGGTTAAAAATAATTTTTGCCTAAACATTTTTATTGTGGTAAGATATGCATTACATGATATTTAGCATGTTACCCATTAAAAAAATTCAGTTTAGGGATATTCAGTACATTCATAATTTGTTCAGCCATTGCCACCATCCATCTTCAGAACTCTTTTCATTTTGGAAATCTGAAACACTGTGCCATTAAACAATAATTCCCTATTTAATGTTCACCCATGTTGTAGCATGTGTCAGAATTTTCTTCTATTTTTAAGGCTAATAATATTCCATTGTACACACCATCTATTGCTTATCCATTCAACTGTCAGTGGACATTTGGGTTACTTTCGTGTTTCAGCTATTGTGAATAATGCTCTGTCAAGATGGACGTACAAGAATTTCTTTGAGACTCTGGTCTCTTTTCTTTTGGGTGTATACCCAGAAGTGGGATTATTGATAATATGGTTGTTCTGTGTTTATTTTTTTGAGGACCCACCATACTGCTTCATGCTGTTTTCCAAAGTGGTTGCTCCATTTTATAATCCCATGAACAGATCTAATTTCTCCATATCTTCATTGACAGTGGTTATTTTTCATGTTTTCGATAGTAGCCACACTAATGGATATAAGGTAATATCTCATTGTGGTTTTGATTTACAGTTTTCTAATGATTAATAAATTTGGCATTTTTATGTGCTCATTGGTCATTCATATATCTTCTTTGGAAAAATGTCTATTCAAGTTATTTGCCCATTTTTAAATTAGGTTGTTTATTTTTGCTGTTATTGTTGGGTTTTATTCTGGATATTAGTCCTTTATATGCAAGTATATATTTTGTGTTGTGTAGTTTAAGGGTGTTGGTCAGTGGTTTCCTTTCCTTCTAGTGTCTTTGGCTTCAGTGTTAGAGGAATGCTGACCTCAGAGAATGAGAAATTTGAAGCTAGAAAGTGTTCTCTCACCTTCAAATTATTTTCTTAAAGTTTGAGGAAAATTGGTGTTAGTTTTTCTTTAAATGTTCAATGGAATTCACAAGTGAAGCCATTAAGTTCAAGAATTTTGTTGGAATGCTTTTGATTTCTGATTCAACCTCCTAACTAGTTATCAGTTTAATCATGTTTTCTGTATCTCTGTGACTCAATCTTGATTGGTTTTGTGTTTCTCATATTTGTCCATTTCATCTAAATTATCCAATGTGATGGCACAAAGTTATTCATCTTACTCTTTATAATCCTTTTTGTTGTCTATATTTATTATTGATTGTAATGTCTCCACTTCCATTTTTTATTTTAGTTATTCAGTTCTACTCTCTCTTTTCTTAGGCCAAATAAAGGTTTTCAGTTTTGTTCATATTTTCAAAGAATCAGCTTTTGGTTTTATTGATTTTTCTCTATTATTTTTCTGTTGTTTCATTTCTCTCTACTCTAATCCTTATTATTTTCTTCCTTCTGCTAGTTTTATTTTTAGTTGGTTCTTTTTTAGTTCTTTAAGTTGCAAAGTTAGTTTGTTGATTTGAGATATCTCTTCTTTTTTAATGTGCTTGTAACAATAAATTGCCTGGTTAGCATTGTTTTTGTTATGTTCCCAGATGGTGCTAGTGGTAAATAACCCACCTACCAATGCAAGAAATACAGGCTAAGTCCTGGGATGGGATCCCCTGGAGGAGTGCATGTCAACCTACTCCAGTATTCTTGCTTGGAGAATCCCATGGACAGGAGAAACTGGCAGGCTGTAGTCCGTAGGGTCTCAAAGAGTCAGATGAGACAGCACTCACATAATTTTCAGTGTATTCATCTCTTAAGTATTTTCTAATTTCCCTTGTGATTTCTTCATTGATGTATTTGTTGTTTAAGAGTGTGTTGTCTAGTTTCTACAAATTTGTGCATTTTCCAGTTTTAGTTCTATTTTGTTTTCTAACTTCATTGTTAAATGAAAATAAAAATACTCTGTCATAAAAAATACTCTGTATGATATCTGTCTTATTAAATCTATTAAGACTTAACTTGTGGCCTAACATATAGTCCTTGCTGGAAAATGTCCACTGTTCAGTTGAGAAGAATGTGTGTTCTGTTGTTGTTACAGTGTTCTGTATATGTCTGCTAGATTTAATTGGTTTATTGTGTTACGAGTTCTCTATTTCCTTACTTCTGTCTGATTGCTCTATCCACTACTGAGAGTAGAGCATTGGTGTCGCCAGTTATTATTGCAGAAATGCCTGTTTCTTTCTTCAGTTTTGTCCATTTATATTTCATGTATGTTTGTCATCTGTTATTAGGTGTGTAAATGCTTCTAATTATTTTATCTTCCTGCTGTGTTGAAACTCTTACTTATATATGATGTCTTTCTTTGTCTCATACCTTTTTTAGATTTAAAGTCATTTTGTCTATTAGTATAGCTTCTCCTGCTGTCTCTTGTTTAGTATTTGCATGAAATATTATTTTCCATTCTTCCAACCTATTTTTGTCTTTGAACTAAAGTGAGTCTCTTATAAACAGCATATAATTAACGTAACAGCATATCATATTTTTATCTATTATTCCAATATCTATCTTTTAATTAGAGAGTTTAATTCTCTTACATTTATAGTAAATACTGATAAGGACTTAGTTCTGTTTTTGCTGTTTATATTCTGTATGCCTTAAGGTGCTTTTTTTGTACTTCATTTCCTGAATTATTGTCTTTTGTATTTAGTCAATAATTTTTAGTAAAGTATTTTAATTCCACTTTTATTGCCTTTTGTGATATTCTCTAACTATTTTCTTTGTGGTTACCATGGGGATTACACTTAATATTCTAAAGTTACAATATTCTAATTTGAATTTAT